GGCGCCGCGGCGGCAGCACCGGGGGAGGCTACCTGGGAGGTCACCATGATGCTCGAGTCGATGAGGAAACTCATGGCGGCCGCCGGCCGGCCGCTCGCCCGCACCGCTTCCGCGTCCGGGAGGTCATGACGTCACCGGCGGCCCCGCCCCCCCCGGCGAGGGGCGGGCACCGTAACCGCCTGGCGGCCGTTGGGAGTAACCGCCGCGCGGCGGCCGTTAGCGCGAACCGCCTGGCGGCGGAGGCGGCCGGCGGCGCCGGCCAGCCCTGCGCGTCGCGTCGCGTCGCGTCCCGTCCCGTCCCGTCCCGTCCGATCCCTTCCCTTCCAGCCCCATCGCCGAGTCGTTGCCGAGCCGCGGGCCGTGAAACACGGCGTAGTCTCTTGCTCCCTTGCGCTCACTCCTTTTCTCTGAGAGGAGCGAAGCACGCCGACGGGGCTGCCTTCGGAAGGCTGTGGCGGATTTGCCGCGCCCGTGCAGTGCGTTGTAGAGAAGGGGCTAAATGCCAACGGCAGAATACAGGGCACGGCCCGGTCACCGGGATTTGTTACAGTGGGCACTGTGTTGAGTGGGGGCACTGGAGGAAACCTGGACTGTTTTCCTGGCCGCTGTCAAAGCTCTTGACAGATGGCGCATATCTGGCCGTAGAAAGTGTGCGGACAAAGAGGAGGCCAAGGAAAAGGGAGTCACCACCAGCCAGGGGCAAGGAGCTGACCAGCTGAAGACGCCAGCAGCATTTGGCCATTTTCCCAGTGTTTTGACGCCTCTGCGAGAGACAGGGAGCAGAGGAGTTGGATGCAGGACAACTGCCCTGGACACACTTTGCCACGTAGGGCAGGAGGGGCTGTGGAGCTGCCGCCAGCGACCGGTCTGCGGGTCCCTTTCCAGCCTCCCTCTGTGTCACCAAGCCAGGCTGGGGAGGCCCTTCGCGCCAGGCGACAATAACACATCAAGGAACAGGGCCAAAAGGGATGTAGAAGCTCAAACAGGGAATTTCCTGATGCTTATCCGAGCAAGACCCAATCCTTCATGTCCCAATCATGCACTCATTTGAACTTAATAGTGTCTGTAAACTGTTAAAAACACTCCTAATCTTTGCTTCTCAAGACTATCTATGTTTGAAATAATAATATGAAAAGGAAAGAATGAAGTGGGGTTAGTCATGAGTGTAACAAAACACAAAACACTTGCTGGTTGAAAATCAGGAACCTTTATTCATTACAACTCAGTTCACTAGGAAAACGATTCTATATTTGGCTGTGCGGAGTCACCAGATCAGTCCTGCAGTSTCTCTAATTGTTTGGCTTTCAGTCTTGTTGTCAGTCTTCTTGTTTTGACGTTTGTTTCCTGGTCTGTGACATTGTTTCTGTGACATTGCGAAGAGGGAAAAAAATCATTCAGCTCTCATGGGGAAATGAATTGAGGGAGCAAATAATCTTATCTCATCTGAGGCCTTTTTTGCAACTTCTKCTATTGCTGGTTATTAATGTGCAGTTGAGATCAGAGCTTCCTTGTACTTCCTGTTATCTATTTCTACCTAAAAACTGATTTTTCCTATAATGAGGAATATGGTTGAGTTTGGAGGGATTTGGGGGTGACAGTTCTGTGCAAGTAGGTTACAGGGTGACATTGGTTGGTGGCTTGTTTTTTTACAGTAGAAATGATCAGGAAAATGTTTAAAAGTTGAACTGCACAAAGCCAAATTCTGCTCTCATTTACATCCTGGCAACTCTGCTCGCTTCAACACAAGGCGCCAAACCAGGGCAGAGTTTGGCCACAGCTCTTCACACTTGCTGCTTTGCATTTGTTTATTAATGGGCTTGAAAGGTGCCTGTGATTAGCTGTAAGTGACTAATCCCTCCAGAGAAACAGACAGGGAGGAAGACCATTCTTACTAAAAGACCTCAGATTCAGTCCTCCACCTATCCTCCCTAACCTGACTTTTTCCTTCAGGGAAGACAAAAGGCTTAAAAGGAATATGGGAAATGCATTCCATGCTGTTACTCCTTAGAAAGTCACCAGTGTGTGTAGGGAGAAAGGTGCGTGGCACTTCACAGGCATAAAGGCAACTCCTCAGTTGTGAAAGGCCTATAGCTTCCCTAAGCAGAACATAGCTGAAGGTGGAGAGGAGGGGAAGAAAGCTGTTCAGTACCCTGCAGCATTCCTCCTAGTTCTATATTTTATTCTTCCACATATTAAAGGGCAAATGTGGCTTGTTTTCTGTAGTGGGAGCYAAATTAAAATCTTCCAAGTAAAGCGGAAAGGTGGAGCATATTGAATTAAAACAGTGTGTCAGCCAAGAGAATATTTAGAGATAGTGTAGGTTTCCAGAAGGTGCTACAGGGCATATKCATGATAAATAGGTTTTGTTGGCAGCTGGCCACTCATTTCCTTTGCTTTTTTCTCCAAAGATTTTCATAAACAGGAGGTCTGAAGCCGGGAGTAACTTGACATCATTCTGATTTTTGAATTTCCTTTGAATTTATTTGTTGTGAATTCTGGAGCGTGTCACTAGCAGTAGGTGAATTCCTTTATGGGGTTGACTGCGGCTTTGCTTTGGACTAGCAGATAAATATGTTCGTGCAAACCTACCTGCACATCTTTGTCTCAGAAACATATTTAGGGCACATTAAATCTAAATTACTTTAAAATTGCTGACATTCTTCAAATCCAAAAGTACTGAATTTGGTAAAAGCCAGGGTTCATTCATGRCTCAGGTTGGCATGTCCTGCCATCACAGTGACGTGCTCTGCTGATGAGCTTCTCAGCCTCAGCCTTTGACAGGGGCCTGCCATCATCTGCGCTGCCTAGGAGTCCCCATGCCCTGTGCAGGGAAGCTGCTCAGCAGCTGCCTGTAATCCCGTATTTTCCTGCATGCTCCTTTGTAACCGCCTCCCATTCATCTGGTGACCCTTCAATCCAACTATCCACTGAATGTTGGAGATAA